ATGCTGGAAGTTATACCACTGGTATTTCTAATATCAACAGATGCTCGTGGTGAACAAGTGTCAGCAGAGCTTCCAAACTAAGACAGACTAGAAAAATGGCCTGATTATCTAGTTCTGAAAAATAACCAATAAAAACTCTATGATTCACAGCAGAAAACTGTCCAAATAGTGCTGGAAGATCAGTCCCCTAGGTTGGAAGTCACCCAAGATACACAGTGGCTGAACAATTGACTCAAGCGAGCAGACTGGTGATTATGAAGACGGCATGGAATCAGATAACATTTTGTTCTGTTGTGCTTGGGGTGGCCATGAGTTCGAGGCTGACTTGACTGCAACTAACAACAACTATGAAAAGAAAAACCAATGTTCCCTGGCCACTTGCCACACAACACACCCTGCCCCTGTATTATCTCATTTCCTTCTCCCAGCAATCCTGTGTTTAACTCTTGACTCTGCCATTCATTGCTGTGTGACTTTGAACGAGTGTCTTAACCTCTCTGATCCTCAGGCTCTACCTCTGTAAAATGGGGGTAGCTTCAGCACCTACCTCACAGGAATGTGTGGTGGTACATCCCTATTATCTTTTCCCAGCCTATCCCCCTGGCCTGGGCATACCTTCAGCTCGGGCATGCTGCCAATGAGTTCATAAGGCACCTTCACATTTGGATAGCTGGTATAGTCGAGAGGGACAAGCTGGGGGGCCAGGTCCTGGTAGCGATAGAAGAGCCTAATGTTGGAGGGGGACACCAAGAAAGGTTGAGAGGTGAGAAAGAGGATAGAGCTCAATCAACCCTTCTCTTACACTTGAAGCTACACACCCCGCACCGAAGAATGTGCTGTCCCCAAGAGCCATCAATTCTGGACCCAGTTCATAAGCAGACAGAGCCAGACACAGACAACTCCACCCACCTCATATTACCTAGATTGTGAGGCCAGGTTTCCACTCAATGCCCTCACCTGGTTAGGTCATACCTTCATTGCGGCATGCTGAGCAGCAGTGTTGTGGAGACCATTCTTGATAAGTCTGGGATCCCCAACTTCTAGTAACTGTTTCTTAGTGGGGCCTAGAAACCCCTGGGTTATTTGATGACTAGGAGTCCAGGGTTAGGGGAGCCTGGAGTGAGGGGAGCAATGCAGGGAAGAGGAAGAGCTTCCTGGAGGTTGGGGCATTGGTGCTGGGCTTTGAAGCATGAGTAGGAGTTTACTGAGCAGATGGAATTGACAGCAGGGAGGGTGTTTAAGGCTGGATAGTTTCGTACCAAGCATTCAGAGAAATTGAGCTCATCTGTGAATCTCTGGACATGATCAGAATGTCTGCAAGACCCTGCATCTAAAGACCCACTTCTGCACACCTTCTTTTCCTTCTCCTATAACAGGAGGCTGAGTTTCCCCTATAGAGTGGAGCAGAGGAAAAGAACTCACATGCATGTTTCTTAAAAGGGCACAAAAAAGGCATTTTGCAAAGCATTGAATGCCAGTCACACTACCTAATTGTAAAACCGTCTCTGTACTCAATAACCTCACCTGGTGACGCCATACTTCCATTGGAGGCATACTGAGCACCAGCCTTGAACAGTCCATCATCTAGTAACGGTCTCTTAGGGGACACAGAGTCCCCTGGATCATATGATGTTTAGGAACTTAGGGTGTGGGAGGTTTGGACCTTTAGTCCTGACCACCCAAGCTCCTGTGTCCCTTCAGGGGACAATCGGGGTCAGGGTTTCTGTGTGACCTCAAGTAGGACCCTCTCCCCTCTGGACCTTGGTTAACCTGTTTGCAGAACAAGACACCTGGGACAGACAAAATGTCAGTCCTCTGCCCTGGGGCTCAGGGTCAGGCCTGGTAGAGCCTCAGTTTCCCCATCAGTAATCTGATCATGCTGGCCAGGGTGACCTACGAGCTGTCCTCACACAGACAATGGGGCTCTCTGGTGAAAGGTGCTGCCATCAATAATGGATGTCCATACCCACACAATTGGGGCCTCAGCCCCGATCACACTGCAGCCGAACTCTGACCAGCTTGGGTTTCACAGCTCCAAGTTCATGGTCAGGGCCTCCGGACAATGGCCCCCCTGGCTGAGTGGTGACGTGGAATACCCATCCATGCCCGTTGCTCTGGGCGCCAGAGCCCCGCCTCATCCTCGGGTTGCCTCTCTGTTCCCGCACCTTGATGCCAACCCACAGCCGAGACCCAGATCTGGCCTCCAGTCTCAGCCTCCCCACACTGGCCTCTGCGGGGTCTTCCTAACACACTGATCCACCCATGTCTTCTGGTGTTCACAAACTCCCTGTGGCTCTTCAGCACCCTCAGGAGTAGCCCAAGCCCATCAGCCTGGAGGCCGTGATCATATGATGAGATAGGACATTTTAGCTCCTTCCACCGTCCATGCCTGTGACCTCTTGTAAGCACTGTCATCCTGTTAAGTTGCAAATCTCCTCCAGAAACGAACAGAAAGGCAGTTTCCAGTCCTCCCTCCTTCCTCCCGGGACTGACCTCATGATCTCCTTCCTCGTGAAGAAGGTACAATCCTGCGGATAGATTGCTGACTTGGCCCAGACCTTGCTTCTGAGGTTCCCTTCCTCTTCCCCCAACTTCTCACCCTTCTGTGCCCAATGCTGTCCCCATTTCTCATATCAGAGAACTGAGGCTGCCAAATACACCGAGGGTCCAGCCCAAGCCCCTACCTGGTAGGCTTCCAGCTGCTCATCAGTGAAGACCGTTTGCTTGTTGCCCATGTCAAGCAGCACTAATGGGCCCCTGGGAGGAGTCCCTAAAGTTCACAGGCTCTGCGGAGCCACACAGGATGCCAGGCTGTTGTACATCTGTGGCAAATGTTGCTGCCCTGCCAGTCACCCGCCCACCCGCCCATCACCCCCAGCCTGGACAAGACTCAAGTTACAGTTAAACTGCCTGGGTTTGTTTCCAGCCACTGGGACTATGGGAGGTCACAGAGTAGCCTTCATTGGAGGACTACATCCATCACCACCAGGTGAGGCTTGGGATCTATGGCACCTTTTGGGGACAGTCAGGGTGGCAGAGAAGTTGTGAATAGATCCTGGATCAAATTCCAGTTCTCTACTCACTGGCTGTGTGGACTTGAACAAGTTGCTTGACCTCGCTGAGCCTTGTTGGTAAGATGGAGGTTTATTAGTATTTACATGTTGTGGATTGAATTGTGCCCCCTAAAAATATGTGATGGAATCCTAACCCGTGAGTGTGATTTATTGAGGTTTTAATGAGGTCACATCAGTGTAGGGTGGGTCTTAAATGAAATGACTTTTGAGATATAGAAAGAGCAGATTAGACACAGGCAGAAGCAAGCATAATTGGAGAAAATATGGACAGCGCATGAAGGTCACCAATGAACTGAGGAACAAGAGCAGGAAAGAGACAGGGACCTTTCCTCAGAGCCCAGACACAGAGCATCTTCCCTAGAGCTGGCGTCCTGAATTCGGACTTCTAACCTCCTAAACTGTGAGAAAATAAATTTCTCTTCCCTTAAACCACCCTCTTGTGATCTTTGTGTTACAAAACTCCAAGAGACCAAACCATCCCTTCCTCTTGAGTATAGGCAAGATCTAGCAACTTGCTTCTACCCAATAAAGCAATAAGCAACTAAACCCACTGCCATTGAATGGATTCGGACTCGTAGGGACCCCATGTGTTTCAGAGCAGAACTATGCCCCACAGGGTTTCCTTGGCTGTAACCTTTATGGGAGGAGCCCTAGTGGCACAATGATTGAAGCGCTGGCCCTAACTGTTCTTCACTTTTTACAACCGTGGTCTCATACAGTTTTTGTCTGTTTTTTGATTGACTAAATTCATTCAGCCTAATGTCCTCCAGGTTCATCCGTGTTGTGAGGTGTTTTGCAGCTTGATCATTACTCTTCAGCATTGCATAGTATTCCATTGTGTGTATGTACCAAAGTCTGTTTAACCATTCTTCTCTTGATGGGCATTTAGACTGTCTCCATCTTCTGGCTATTGGGATTAGTGCTGCGATGAACATGAGTGTGCATCGATCTCTTTATGTCATGCTCTTATGTCCAGGGATATATACAAAGTAGAAGGATTGCTGGGTATTTCTATTCCCAACCTTTTAAGAAAGCACCTTACCATTTTCCTCAGTGGTAACTCCATTTTACAGTCCCAGCATCGTGTTGTTAAGTGCCGTCAAGTCAGTTCCAACCCATAGTGACCCTGCATAGGATTTCCGAGGTGCAGCTGGTAAGCTTGAACCACCAACCTTGCAGTTCAAACCGACCCTGTGGTCCAGCGTGTTAACCCTCAGCACCACAGCCGAGAGTCTAATTCTTTCAACTGCTTCACCAGCATTTGTTACTTTCTGTTTCTTTGAACTTTGCTATTAATGCTGGGGTCAGATGTGGTATTTTATTGTTGCTTTGATTTACATCTCTGGTAGCGTAGTGGTTACGAATCGGGCTGATAACCTTAGGGTCAGCTGTTCAAAACTACCAGCTATTCTGTGGGAGAAAGATGAGGCTTTCTGCTCCAGTAAAGATTTACAGCCTCGGAAACCCTGTACAGGGTCACTGCGAGTCGAAACCGACTGCAGGGCACATCACCACCACCAATGGCTAATGATCAGGAGCATTTCTTCTTATGTTTGTTGGCTACTTCTTTAATGAAGTATCTGTTCATGTCCTCTGCCTATCTTCTTCTTGTTGAAGTGTTGATGTGTTCTATACATTTTGAAGAGTAGTCCCTTATCTGATGTTATTGTCAAAAAATCTTTCCCCCAGTTTGTGGGTTCTCTTTTTACTCTTTTGGTAAAATCTTTTGATTCACATAAGTGTCTAATTTTTAAGAGGTCCCAGTCATCTATTTTGTCTTCAGCTACTCATTTTCAGTTATGTTTGATAGTGTATTTATGCCACGTATCAGAGCCCCTAAGTTTGTTCCTGTTTTTTCACTGACGATCTTTATAGTTCTAGGTTTTACATTTAGGTCTTTAATCCATATTGACTTCATTGTTTTATATGGCGTGAGATATGAATCTTGTTGCATTCTTCTGCAAATGGATTTCAGGTTTTGCCAGCCTCATTTGTTGTAGAGACTATCTCTTCCCCATTTAACGTGTTTTGGCCCTTTGTCAAAGACCAACTGACCATAAGTTGTTGTTGTTGTTGTTAGGTGCCATTGAGTCAGTACCGACTCATAGCGACCCTGTTCACAGCTGAACAAAACACTGCCCGATCCTGGGACAACCTCACTATTGTTGCCATGCTTGAGTCCATCGATGCTACCACCTGGCCAATCCATCTCGTTGTGGGACTTCCTCTTTTTCTCGGATCCTTGCCAAACATGATATCCTTCTCAAGCAACTGGTCCCTCCTGACAATATGTCCGAAGTATGAGAGACAAAGTTTGGCCATCTTGGCCTCCAAGCAGCACTCTGGCTGCACTTCTTCCACACAACGGATCTATTGGTTCTTTTGGCAGCCCGTAGCACTTTCTATACTCTCCTCCAAAAGCATTTATGGTCTTCCTTATTCACTGTCCAGTTTTCTCATGCATATGCGGTTACTGAAAATACCATGGTTTGGGTCAGGCGCACTTAAACTGACATCTTTGCTCTTCAACACTTTAAAAAAGGTCTTGTGCAGCAGATTTGCCTAATGCAATACGTCGTCTTATCTCTTGACTGCTGCTTCCGCAAATGTTGACAGTTGATCCAAGAAGAATGCAGTTCTTGACAACCTCAATCTTTTCTCTGTTGATAAGAATGTTGTTTATTGGTCCAGTGGTGAGGATTTTTGTTTTCTTGACATTGGGATACTAGTCTATAATTTTCTTTTTTAGCAATGTCTTTGCTTGGTTTTAGTGTCAGGGTTATATGCTTGCTTCGTAAAATGAGTTCCGGAGTTTCCTATATTCTGGAATAGTTTGAGTAAATTGGTGTCAGCTCTTCTCTGTGTGTTTGGCAGTAGGAGTTGTTGTTTTTAACACTTTAAAGAGGTCTTTTACAACAGATTTGTTCAATGGAACATGTTGTTTGACTTCCTGATTGCTGCTTCTATGGTTGTTGATTGCGGACCCAAGTAAAATGAAATCCTTGACAGCTTCAGTCATCTCTTCATTTATAATGGTGTTGCTTATCGGTCCTGTTTTCTTTATGTTGTGTAATCCATCCTGAAGTCTGTATTCTTTGGGCTTCATCAGTAAATACTTCAAGTCCTCTTCCCTTTCAGCAAGCAAACTTGTGTCATCTGCATATCACAGGTTGTTAATGAGTCTTCCTCCAATCCTGGTGCCACGTTCTTCTTTATATAATCCAGCTTCTTGGATTATTGCTGAGTATTCAGATTTTTTTTTAGGAAGCAGACAGTCATGTCCTCCTTCCTAGTCTGCCTTAGTCTGGAAGCTGTCCACTATGAATGACCCTGCTGGTATTTGAAATATTGGTGGCATAGCTTCCAACATAGCAGCAACACACAAACGACCATAATACAACAAACTGACAGATGAGTGGTGGATTGTTAAAATACGGTTAGCTAAATTCCTTGGTGGCACAAACTATTCAACATTCAACTAGCCAGAAGATTGGCTGTTCAAGACTCACCCAGAGGCACCTTGGAAGATGGGCCCAACATTCCAAAAAGTCACAGGTTTGAAAACCTCACTGAGCTCATATGGGGGTCCCATGAATTAGAATAGACTCAATGGAAAATAACAACAACAATTAAATTCCAGACTGTATTTGGCCTAGAATACTTCACCCGTTTTCCTTTTTTAATTAGAATTCCATCCGTGGTCCAATGTCAAATTTAGTTGTCGTATCTCCTTAGGTGGCTCTGAATTATGACTGTTCCTCGGTCTTTCCTGGTTTTTGTTTTGTTTTTGTCTTTTGTGTGTGTGTGTGTGTGTTTTCAATAAGCTTGACAGTCTTGAGGAGTACCGGTCGTTATTTCGTAACAGTGTCCTGCAATTTGGGCTTGTGTGATGCTTTCTCATAATTCTCTGACTCCCTCTCACTGCCACCAAGCCGATTCCAACCCACAGTGACCCTGGATAGGGTTTACGAGGCTGGAAATCACAGGAGCAGAGCACCTCATCTTTCTCCCTCAGAGCAGAGGCTGGGTTTGAACTGCAGATCTTGTGGCTAGCCGTCCAGTGCTACAATGCCACACCAGGACTCTTTTTGTCATGACTAGACTGAGGTAATGGATTCTGTCTTTTTAATCACACTGTGGTGGCTTGAAGGTTGCTGTGATACTGGAAGGGCCACCCATGGTGGACAGGCTTCCAGTCGAGCTTCCAGACTAAGAATGATGAGGAAGAAAGGTCTGGCAATCCACTTCTGAAAATTAGCTAATGATAAGGGTGATGGGGAGACTCCTGGTATGGCGCTATAGGATCAGCACTGGACTTCGAACCACAATGTCTACAGTTCAAATCCACCAGCTGCTCTTTGGAAATCCTATACAGGGTCACTAGGAGTTGAAACCGACTTGATGGCACTTAACAACAACCATGGTGATGGGCAATTTCACAAGCAATACTGTGTCCAACAGACTGAAACACTGCCTAGTTCTATACCATCATCACAATTGTGTTTGAGCCCCTTGTTGATGCCACTTCATTGACCCCTAGTGTTGGGGGTCTCCTTTGTTGACACTGCACTTTACCAATTTGATGTCCTTCTCCAGGGACTGGTCTTCCTGACAATATGCCCAAAGTATGAGAGACAAAGTCTCACCATAGTTGCTCCAAA